AGAACCGCGCACCCTGTCCCCTCCAGCAACGACCAACTGTCTCCTGGAGCCAGTATGGCCGAGGTAGCGGGTAATAGACAAGTAGACACACTGTCAACATGCACATCAAGCGCAGCCACACCGGGGATGTAAAACAACAGCCAATCATTGGAAATGCCGATATCAAATAAAAGATATCGAATAAGGTAAACGTATATGACGACATAAATACTGGCTAAATGAGCATATGGAGAAAATCGGTTATAAGCTAGTCCGTCAAAAGTACAAAATGTACGAAAGTTATTTCAAAGATACCACATGATAAAGTTACGCAGGTTTATCACAATTAGCATGAGCGACGTATGCAAGTTAGGGGAAGATTATCAGGTACGCAGAACAAACGAAATAAAGTGGAGTGAATTTTATCCACATTAAAAAGAGCTAGTATAGGTGTAAGTTGGTTTGGCCCAACTGCGGTGAAGAAGCATCATGGATGCAACATCGGCCTCAGCATGCGTGATTTCAACGCGCGCGTTGAGCGAGATGCTTCGGTGTGCGCAGATGTAATCGGTATGCATGGCATTGGCACAGCCAATGGGAACGGGGACCGGATGCTCTCACTGCGCTACTCAGGACTTGACCATCACGAACACACAGATTGCAATGGGGGCAAGTGATTTAGTTACTTGGACTCATCCACGGACTGTTCACGCTCACCTGCTTCACTGTCATCATACGTCAGCGTGACATGTGTGAAGTGCGCATGACACGTGTACTGGGTGGAACTGAGTGCGGCATTGATCACAAAGTGGTGCGGATCAAATTGTAGACATATTTTATTAAATCTATGTACTGCACTTTGTCATGAACCGGGGAAAATATAACATTCTTTCCCTAAGAACTGCTAAGAAGAGGATGGAACTGGAGAAGGCAATGGCTACCTGCCTTGCTGATGTCGAGTCCATAGTCTCAGTGAACAACTTGTGGCACTACATCGTGATCAGGTGACAGCTGCTGCCGTGGAACCATCGGGCGCGCGAACTGTAAGCGGCCCAAATTGCATTATGACAACAGTTCGATCACTGGTGCATTGGTGTCGAGAAAGGCCGTAGCGTTCGCTGCGCATGCGGATAATCATGACGACTGTGAGAAGGCGAATCACTTTCGCCAACTTCGACGGCGATTAATTCAAGAGCTCCGTCACATCAAGAATGCATGGCGAAAGAAGAAGACGAATAGATGGAATGCTACGCCGAATGTCGCCAACGTAGAGAATTCTTTGACTCAGTGAAGGCGGTGTGTTCACCAATGTTGCAGCCACTGAGGACGCTACTCGATGCTACTTCAGGTGCTGCCTGCACACAGACTACAGAAATAATGTAGATTCAGCGAAAGCACTTTGACCGTCTCTTGAACTATCTTTCAGGGATTGACTGACTCGAAAAGGTTGTAACAGCAAGAGATGAAGATGTGTCTTGCCGGTACACCGATAGTGCTTGAGACGCAGAGAGCACTAGCTCAGCTGAAAAACGGTGTGCGCCGGCGACGGCGGGATCCCGTGTTGGTAAAGGCGCAGTACTATTTGGAGCCACGCGTGCGGACTGAAGAGGAAGTGTCGGCGAAGCTGAAAGACGTCTTTGTGCTACCACTGTACACGGGCGAAAGAAGCAAGCAATCCTGCGTGAATTATCGTGGAATTAACTTGCTGAGTTCTGTGGGTAAAGTGATCGTACGAAACCTCCTCAACCGCCTCGTGACCCAGGTCCTCGAACCGCACGTGGCGGAAGATAAATGTAGATTCCGTTCGGGCCGCAACACTGTACGGTGTTCGCGGCTCTTCAGTTGCAGCAGAAATGCCGGGAGCGACACCAGTCATTACAGGTCGACTTCACAAAAGCATTTAACACAGTGAACTGCGAGGCATTGTGGTTGGTGTTGCGTAAGTTAGGTTGTCCGCGTAAGTTTGTAAGTTTAACTGAATGCTTGTATCATAGTAAGCGGCGAGGGTGCAGCTTAGTAGACACAACTGGGATGATTTTGATGTTGCCTCTAGAGTGAAGCAAGGCAATGTCTTAGACCCTACAGTGTTAATAGTTACCTCCATGTAACGATGTCTTGTGCTTTTGATGCGGCTTGTGATTACGGTGTTGTTGTGGAGCTCCGTATTGGTGGTCGGTTGCTGCAGCTCTGTCATTTCGGGGCAAGAACCTGAGTGTGTGAGACAACCAGCCGTATGTTGCTGTTTGCTAACGACTGTGCGTTGTTTGCGCACATCGCGGATGAGTTGCAGCACATGACTAGTGCTCTGGCTTCGACAGCGGCCAAATTCGGGCTCACTATCAGCACAAGCAAGACTGTCTTTTTCAGCCATCGTGGCCCTGCTAGAAATCCATATTGGCAACATCATCTTTCAATGTCTACCGACCTGCAGGTGACGAGCAAGCTGCGCATGCGTGTGTCGAAGGCAGCTGCCGCATTCGGAAAGTTAGAAAAACGTGTGTGAAACAAGCACCAGCCACAATGTGCCCTGATGTACTAATATATGCTATGCCATTGTTGCATTTGGCCTGTAAGTGTGCCTGCATGTTGAGTTACTTGAACTTCCGGGGATGGTTGCTGACTAATATCTAAGGTATGGCCGCGCGTTATGTGAACGTTGACAAAGTGTTTACCTGTCTAACACACTGCAGCTCGATTTTACGGGCTCCAGAAGACTGTACTACCTTGTTGAGGAGACGGGGTGCACGGTCCTCGTGGTCTGTTGGGCTAAAACATAGGTTCCATGCATCCAGAGCGGAGCGGGCTATGGCCCAGCTATCGCCTTGTGTACGTCTGGTAGGCATGAATGCTTCTGTTCTGCTTGTTGAAGGGGTGTGGGCCGGCTCCGTTGAGTAAACGTGGCTCCCATCCACATGTCTAGCAGTCTTATTCCTTCGGGTTTACACTGGATATGGGGAACGTGGATGGAGCTATGGGTGGTGCAGCGCAAGCCACCCATGGTCTCTGTAGATGCATGTGTCCTTTGGCTGTCATATGGAGGCCGCCGTGACAAACAAATCCGGAATCAGATGCCGGCAACCATATAGACATCCGCAGTAGGCCGGTACGTAGTATCGAGGTACTAGCTGCAGCGCAACCACAGTTAGTTTTACCTAGGCTAAAGATATTGCGAGGGTCGCCCGGTCCCTATGCAGGCTAAAACCAAAGCCATCGGATTACAAAGCAGGCTTGTGATCCTTAAAGCTACGGGCCCGCCCGCCAACTATATATATATATATATATATATATATATATATATAATGTAAATAGGCTAAAGGAGAGATTAACATGGCTGCGATGCGGCCGACATTACTACACGGCCAGCAGCGTGACCATTGTGCGTTGAGGCAACGAAAATCAGACGGTTTTTACCACCGATGCCTGTGGCCATCAAAACGCTTTGTGTCACGACACAATAGATGAGGTGGTTCACACTACGTGCAAAATGATGATATTTGATTGAAGCAAGAAGGTAATACCGAAGCTCACCATTTGATATTGAGTGGTAGACCTGATGCCACATAAGAAGGTATGCTGAACCTGAGTAGTCTAGTTTGTGTAAATCATGTGCTCCGCGCAATTGTGATTTAGTTTGGTATGTACTATTTACTGATATCGCAACTAAGTGGATGAAACCCCGAAGCAGCTGGTAAATGACATGACAAAAGAGGATGAAAAAAGCACTAAAACTGTGAGTCGAGTTACTATGATCAACATAGACTGACGGCATAATTCAAGAAGATTTGGTATACAGCGTTTCGGTTATTCTGCACGACCACGCCTACAGCTAAATGTCTATGCCTATTGGACGGCACGCGATATTCACTGTCGTATGTGATTCAATTCTGTCTGGGGCCACGTTCAACGTTGTTCATCCTCGACAGTACCGATTCTCCACCGTCCGTCTATAGAGTATATAGAGTATAGTTCGCTGGAGTGGGTCACAAATGATTTGGCTTCCGCTCAATAGACACGCACAGGTTCTATCCGCGCCATTGACCAGCTGCCAAAGCATCTAGTGACGTCCGTCTTGATTGGTTGGTGCGCTCGTACGATTCGCAACGGTACTTTTCCCCTGTCTGTGACCGAAGTGCGTTGCATTCGAGCAACGTCCAGTTAACTCATCCGTGCAGTTCCGGCCAGTAGGATCGCGGTCATCTGACGTCTGAGGCGCTTCAGTGAGTTCCTGTTCACCTGTGCCACATCTATTATGTTCTCACAAACAACTGGTTGGCAGCACAATTAGCAAGGAGCAAAAACCAGCATCCCATCACAAACCGCATGAGGGTGGTTTCCGACATTAATATAATCTATTTCATAAGCCAACACTCGCAAATAAGAAATTATCTAGTGCCATTGAATGGGCTACCACTTATTAGAGGGAACGACATAAGGCTGTAAAGGCGATAAATACAGAGGGACTCACGTATGAAACAATATTTGAGAACCTTTTCGGAGTGTTTCCGGTTGGTAGAACTACAGAAAAACAGCCAAGAAGAACGGCGCAGCGGATGAACACATGAACGAACGAAACGCATAAGGTACTGTCATCAGGTGGAAAAAAGATTTTGATGAAGTCAAAAGCGCAGTGTAAGGATTGCAAAGTTGGAATACAAGTACACGGACGGAGATTTAGCTAGTCTCAAATGGTACAAGTGAGCGCGTGCAGTGGCACGATAGGATAGTTCTGATTGCGTTCTATGCGACGTCCACAAGGCACCTAGCTATGCGAGTATCGGCTTCAGAAAGCTCACAAGCGCTACTGAGAAAGATGGTTATCATCGTTCCTGACGGTGTTACACTTAGCTATTCCAACTTTAACAGGCCACGATACAGCAACTTCATACATATGCTTGATAGGTACATCAAACTTATTTTATGCCACAGAGGAGCGGGGGTCAGCTGGGAATCAAGTGGGACTACTGGATTTGCGTGTATGGATGAAGCTGTGGGCCGATAAATACAGCCTCCTCATGGTACCATGTTAGATGTAGACGTCCGGTAACGCACAAAACTAAATATTATTAACAAATAACACGGATAGTTAGATCTCTCGGTAACCAGCAGTGCACACACAGCGGAGGCAGAGTAAAAGAATTCCATTTCGACCACCCCCAATGTTAAACTTTGCTTGTCATCTAAGGGATGGAATATCGCTGGACGGTGTTTGGATATTGGGGAGAAGGGAATTACACGTATAGGACACAGACAGAGAGAGAGAAATGCCAATCCCCTTGTGTCGAATTCAAGGCCAAAAGGAAGCTGAATTGTATCACACAAGGATGATGGGGGAAAGTGGTTGCGACGCATAAAGGGACATGGAAGAGGCTCTTGTACGTAGGAAAACACAGACGGTTCATGGAATTTGACCGATATATTGTACCGAACAATAAAGATGGGGAAGAGGAACAAAGCAAAACCTGTTCCGCGACAATCAAATGGAACGATTAAGATAAATGTAAGGCTGCAGGACGATAGGGTTCACACACTTATGCAGATAGAAAGCGCTGTATGCCGGAAGCTGGGCGAATCAAAGTATGCATTGTGGAAATGTGCAAATCGGAACATGATTTAACGCGGATGATGAGAGGAGAGAAAATAAATTGAATCTCATTTTCAGCCAGACGCCGAAGCGGCACATTTGTTGAATTGTGTTTCACGCTGATGATGTAAATCGTTGAGCACTCGTCGGATTTGGTCTGCGAATGTTCCCAACGCCCTGTAGAGGCTGGTGAAGTCATGTGGTATCGACAGGTAACTAGTTTATTGAGCCCGGTACGGAGAGATAGCAAAACCGAGATTGAGGAACCGAGATAGAGGTAATACGGTCGCTATACCGATCGGAGGAGTCAGTTTGAAGCAAGCGCTGTGTAAACGGATTAGGATACGCAATCACAATGATGAATTAGATGGATATTGGGTATTACCCACCCGAAAACCCCGCGCTCCATGATCGATGTGGAGCTTACTTGCTCTCCCCACCAGGCTGTACAGCGTAGTGTTCTCTTGGAGGGCAACACTAAATAACCATATGTTCACAAGACGGTAATCCACATGTGAACTATAATCTCCTCAGGATAATCTGCGAGGCGGTAGATAGGAGTGAATGAGTCATATGCAATCAAATAAACAACTGCTTCTATCGCATTTAAAGTAACAGATGCGATAAAACAACTGAGAGATAAACGGAAGCCGTCGAAGTTATAGAAGGCCGCGTATGGATGTGAAGGATAAACAATGAACCAGAAGAATGAAAAAAGACAGATAGTAATGTGGAGATAATTGTTTCTAAACCGCATACATAGTGATCAAAGTTGTTAGTGTAGTGGGGAGTGCTCCAAACATAATAAGGGAAGCTGGTACAAAACACTGAATGCTTAATATGTGGTTGACCTACTTCCCAGACAACAAACGCGTCGCGGGACATAGGTCCGCTTTAAATCCGTCGCAGGTGGGAAAAAGGCAACAACAGTACGACAACACATCGCATCGACGACGCTTCGCTACCACGCGACCCCCCACAGTCGCGTGTGATCTAAGTATACCGCGAGGTCACCAGGAGGTAAGAAGCCCCCGATTTGTTATTTAACCGAACCGATCAGGGTGCTCACCCATACAGTAAGACCGCATAATCAAAAAACATCGTAAACCTTGATAGTTAAAGAGCAACACACCCCCAGACGAAAACGCTGACTGTGGTCTACCAACACAAAGAGGCATCTCATCCAGATGGCAAAACAAGCGTAAAAGAAGCTGTCCACACAATCACCAACGGTGTCATCCAAGGGAATGCACTTGGCCCTTTGTTATTTCACCTAAGTACAAGTATATTGGCAGGTCCATTAAAAAGCCAACTATTTCTATTGGGATTGTCTATAAACTCCGGTGTGATATGATTCAGAACACACTACAATTGATTCAAGCTGATCTTCACTCTCCTGAGGAATGGTCCGACATTTGGCCGATAAATTACTCGGCTGACAAAACAAGCATTATTGCCAATGAGTAGCGGGGATTGTGCTGCAATTTCGAGACATTTCATCACGGTCCAGCCTGTCAGCAGGCTTGGTCAAGTCTGGAAAAGCACCAGACAACGCTGCTTCGACCTTCTGGGTCAATTCTTTGGTGCGTCTTCCATCGAAAGGTCCTAGCTTGTGGGACTAACTGCTGTCCTCTGCACAGTTCATAACTGGCATGGCAGTGGAAGATGAGCCGGGCTATATCAAAATCAAGCATTATGTCACATATCTGCTAGATCCCCAAAGGGTCAGCCAAATTTACGAATCCAAGTTCATACAGAGTTCTACCTGTGATCTTGATATCCGGTATTCTACCAAGTGTAACTTTGCTGAACAAGCCCAATACCAAATAGCCCGAGCCAGAGAATCCGTGGCCAACATATGCTACAAAATCCATAAGATTCCTGTCAATCTGGAATTGTTTAAATCCTCACTTGTCCAATTCTCGAATGTAGCAACTTCATTTATGACAGAAAGCGGAAGTTAGACAGGAAAACTATGAAAAATTTACAGAGGTCGCTCGCTAAACGCTTGTTCAGTACCACATCAACCCTAAATTACCGCGAAGAATGCAAGCATCATCATCATCATCATACTACACGTTAGCTGGAGGTGGGGAACACCTCAGCTACTGTGCCGCAATACACAGAAAAAAGGAGAGAAAAAAAGCAACTGGTGCAAGTCAGCTGAGCTACCGGTAACGGATGGGCATCGTTCCTGTAAGCTACCAGCCGGCTGCTGTGCACCAAAAAATTACTATGCAAAATTATATAAGGCTAAGTAATGAGATCGTGGTTGGGGGAAAAGGCTAAGAGGGATAGGGTGGGACAAGCAGCATCACATCCAGCCCGCCTGGTTGTGAGGTCTAAAGCAAAACTTGATGCACTTGGCTGGCTAGCCGACCAACATCCACGTGGTGCCAGCTGTGGTACGGGATTATCCCGTTCCAGCGAATAGTTCGGCGGCAATATTTCAGTATGTGGTGTTTTCGCCTGGCGAGCGTTCTCCCTATAAAAAGCCACAAGGGTTCAATTAACAACACTGCGACGTGGCAGGTGTGACTTGCCACTAAATAAAGTCACTGCTTCTTCCCCTTCCGGAGGAGCCCACTTCACAAACGTCATCCAATTCGAAGAGTTCCGTTGATCTCTTTATACGATGGCGAACACAGCAAACAAACACGAATACAGTCACACGCGGTGCCCAGTATGGTTGGCGGCATCCGGTTTCGGATTTGCCTGTCACTGTGGCAAGCCACAGGACGCCTGCGCATACAGAGGGACCATGGATGGCTTCCGCTGCATCACCCACAGCTCCAACCACACACCCCATATCCAGCGTAAACCCGAAGCAATAAGACCGGGAGGCATGTGGAAGGGGACCACGTTTCATCAACGGAGCCGGCCCACACTCCTTCACAGGCAAACACAATCACACTGTATTTGGGAATCAAGCGCACACAAGGCGGTGGCTGGACCGTAGTCCGCTCCACACTGACTGCATGGAACCACTGTTCGAGCCTAGCACGGCCACAAGGACCGTGCACCCCGTCCCCTCCAGCAACCACCAACTGTCTCCTGGGGCCAGTAGTGGGTAATAGACAGGTAGGCACCTTGTCAACATGCACATCAAGCGCAGCCACACCGGGGATATCAAACAACAGCCAATCACTTGAGAGAGAGAGAGAGAGAGAAAGAAAAAGAGAAAAACTCGATTAATGCATAAGGAAACGGTGATATAAACCTTAATTAAATAGCATATGTAATAAGTTGTTTACAAACAAATCCTAGCTAAGTGCACGAGGTCAGGAAGTATAGTTCACGGAATGCCACGAACGCAAAATTGTTATGGAAATCGAATACAATTGGCTGAAGCGATGTGTGCAAGTTAATGGAATAGAGTACAGGGAGACATTTATATGAGAAAGAAAAGCATTAAGGTAAAAACTGTAAACCCACCACCTGAAATAAACAGACTTAGCATGCAAGCACGCGGTTAGTAAATCGAATTCAGCGTGCCTACAAACGCTGCGCCGGTGCTGCCTACGTTCACTGCGGGACCCGTCGGCGCTTCGGCAGTGGTCCCGAGTGACCTCTCTCATGGCTCACTAGGCCTGCCTGACTAAGGCACTCGCGACCGCATGTTCTACAGCACCATGCCCTCGATGTCGATGGAGTACAATTCATCGGTGCTTGCCGCTTCCGCAACTGCCGCTTCTTCTCTGCATGCATGAGGGCTTTCTCCCGCACTTCAGCAACTGCCTTCGTGATTAGATCGCGCCATGCACCACGATCAACCGCCTTCGATTACCATGACCTGCAATCAAGATTAGAACGTGTGAGGCTCACTTTAATCATGTCCTGGTAACGTAACTTTGGTTTCCTCACGTGCCGCTTCCCAATACTCAGCTGACCGTATAAAAGTTGTTTCGGTATCCGCGCCGAATCCATACGGCTC